CCTCCATGCGGCGGTGCCACTGACTGAAGTGTCTTTAGGCCATTCCCAAAGGGGGGACATTTCTTGTTCTTATGCACAGTAGAATTGTAAATGGGCTGATTCAACAATGTCATGCTCATAACTGCCTGAACTGCATCAGGGAACTGCTGTTTTTTCTTTCCTAGTCCTTACTATTGTCATTTTCCTGTACACTTTTGTGACCTGCTATTTCCGGGGGTGCCTTGATAGTCGAAGCAGACTTTGTGCTGTTGAAGCCAGAGAGGTGAGCAGAGTACGTCTGATTCCCTGTAAAGACTTCTCTGTTGACATCCACCTCTTGGCGCTCACATGACCGTATACAGTTGCAAGCGCCGTAAAACCTCTACTAAATAAATAAAAAATAAGCATGTTGCAGCCCCCTCAGCCAGGCTTGACTGTGACAGACAGGGCCAAAGTAACCCATCTCTTAAATTACTAAATTGTATCAGGAGACGGGGAAAAATATATTGGTTGGGAGCCGTTTAAGCAGGTTTGACTTTATTGTGGTAAAGGGTTTTTGTCCTCCATTTTGTTCTTTCTTTTTTTTATTATGGTGATGCAAACTTATATTATAGTGGGTGGTTGGCGGGTGCTCTGGTGTGGTTTGTTCCTTCTTTGCTATCAAACATCTATCATCCTTATCTCCCCTTCTTTTTTTATGTTTGTTACTCTCTTGTAACACCTCTAAACTTCTGGCGCTCATATGACCTTATGCAGTTGCGAGCGCCATAAAACCTCTACAAAACCCCCCCCCAAAAACTTACACTTTATGTTTTCTTTGTGCCAAGGAAAATAAAGTGGATCTAAAGACAATTCTGAATTTCATCAATGATGTGGACGAGCGTTCAGGTGGAGGGACAACTGTGGACATTGCGTTCGCTCTCAGTGAGATTTCTAAGCTCGAGATGTTCACAAGCATGTGGTGAGTGGCTTCTTCTCGTTATTTGGTCGCTTTTAAGGACAAGTGGGCTAACCCGGTTTCCAGGGCTTTCCAGAAATCTTGACCTACACCAAAAGTGGGCATTGCCCTACCTATAGGAGAAGTTTGGTTTCATTAGTGTGTATATTTGTTTGGTTATTGACGAAACTCTTCTTGTATTTTGAAGAAACTAAGCAAGGGGCAAAAACTTTACCTTCGATTTTCTCAAAACAGCGTTTTTCCATATAGCCCCCTTGTGCTTAAAAGCGACCATTTGACTTCTTGTACACACTTCAAAAACTGCAGGATGTGTGGTTGGCAGGTGCTCCGGTGTGGTTAACTCATTCTTTTCTACCAAACATCTATCATCCTTGTCTCTCCTCCTTTTCTTTGTATGTTACTCTCTTGTAACACCTGTGATCTTTGGCCTTTATCTGACCTATTTGTGGTACAAATGCTCTTACTACAACCATTTTTTATTAAAAAACTGCAGGTGATTTGAGGACACTAGCGTTTTGTCCTACCATTTTTCTTTCTCCTTTGTTGTTGCCGACTGTCTGTCATGGTTTCTCAATGCACTTCATGGCTGTTATTGTTTAGATAAGCATTTTTATACTCAAACACTTCAAAAGGAAGAAAGGTGGGTGGTTGGCGGGTGCGCTGGTGTGGTTTGCTTTTTCTTTCCTATCAAACATCTATCATCCTTATCTCCCCATCTTCTTTTTTATGTTTGTTACTCTCGTGTGACACCTCTAATCTTCTGGCGCTCATATGACCTTATGTACTTGCGAGCGTCGTAAAACCTCTTCTAATACAAAAAGGAAGAAAGTGGTGTGTTACTCCAATGCTCTCTGAAGGTGTGGGTTTGATTACCATTTGGCCTAGTGCCATATACTAATCAGCTGAACTTGCTCTTATGGCCACCTGTCAAGACAATCGCTTACTTGTACAGATTGATACTTCCCACTCCCCCCGAATCCATGGCTAGTTCAAGAAATCTACCATATGATGTGGCCTAAATAAGGTAAGGGAGGGGGGTTTAGCTTATTTGGGCCATATGGGGGTTTTGTCGGTCGCGATCTTTCAGCTTTTCCCGGTCTGAGAGTACGTTTCATGCGAACAGGCGGCTATGGCGGCAAGCGGAAGTGTACGAGTGATGCCGAGGCTCGGTCGGGAAAATCTAGATCTTCTTTCGGTTTCACAACCACCCTGAAATTTGCCGGTAAAAGTCTGGTTTCACAACATTGTTGTAACATCAGTTTGTGCATTACAAAGGCTGTGTCGCTATGAAAATAAATCAATATTTGTCACTTGTGTAAAAAGAATAGAAAGTTATACAAGGGTCTTGTCGGGCTCGCCGTCCTGACCGGTCACTGAACCTGCGCGTTTGTATGTCACACACATGATGATAGGGCGTCGAGTGAGTACAGCGAATGTTTGGGCCACTAAAGTTCATTCAAGTCTGAGCGTTGCGAAGTATAGGACTCCGGGATGGCGGGATTATTAATTTTTTTTTTTAAAGATACACTC